GCACAATCTATACTTCCTTTGTGTAACCCAGCTACTGTAGAGGAGGTAGGTCGACTGTTTTCTAAAGAGCACCTAACCCCCTGCCCCCTGGACCCTGTTCCCTCGCAAATACTCTGGTCATCCCCTGGCTCTATCCTTCATTCTTTATCTCATATCTTCAATCTCTCCTTTCTACTGGCATCTTCCCCAACTCTCCAAAACATGCGCTAGTCAACCCCAAACTTAAAAAGGCCTCACTGGAACCCACCAATCTTAGCAACCTAAGACCCATCTCCTCCTCACTGGACCCCACCAATCTTGGCAACCTAAGACCCATCTCCTTCTCACTGGAACCCACCAATCTTAGCAACCTAAGACCCATCTCCTCCTCACTGGACCCCACCAATCTTGGCAACCTAAGACCCATCTCCTTCTCACTAGACCCCACCAATCTTGGCAACCTAAGACCCATCTCCTCCTCACTGGACCCCACCAATCTTAGCAACCCAAGACCCATCTCCTTCTCACTGGACCCCACCAATCTTAGCAACCCAAGACCCATCTCCTTCTCACTGGACCCCACCAAATCTTAGCAACCTAAGACCCATCTCCTTCTCACTGGACCCCACCAATCTTAGCAACCCAAGACCCATCTCCTTCTCACTGGACCCCACCAAATCTTAGCAACCTAAGACCCATCTCCTTCTCACTGGACCCCACCAATCTTGGCAACCTAAGACCCATCTCCTCCTCACTGGACCCCACCAATCTTGGCAACCTAACACCCATCTCCGTACTCCCTTTTGCCTCCAAACTCCTTGAACGTCTAGTCTACAACCAGCTGACCTGCCACCTCACCTTCTCCATCCCCTTCAATCTGGATTTCGCCCACAACACACAGAAACTGATCTCCTAAAAACTCACAAACAACTTACTAACCGCTAAAGCCAATGGCCACCATTCCGGACTCTTACTCTTGGACCTCTCCGCTGCCTCTGACACAGCTGACTACCCCCTCCTCCTCCTCAAAAAACTCTATTGACTTGGTGTCATGACTGTACTCTCCATTGGTTGGAACCTTACTTATCTCACCGCACCTTCAGTGTCACAACTCTACTTCCTCCTCTTACTGACGGGGCCCCCCAAGGTTCTGTCCTTGGACCTCTCCTCCTCCTGTCAGGGCCCCCCAAGGTTCTGTCCTTGGACCTCTCCTCCTCTTACTGACGGGGCCCCCCAAGGTTCTGTCCTTGGACCTCTCCTCCTCTTACTGACGGGGCCCCCCAAGGTTCTGTCCTTGGACCTCTCCTTCTCCTCTTACTGTCGGGGTCCCCCAAGGTTCTGTCCTTGGACCTCTCCTCCTCCTGTCGGGGTCCCCCAAGGTTCTGTCCTTGGACCTCTCCTCCTCCTGTCAGGGTCCCCCAAGGTTCTGTCCTTGGACCTCTCCCCATCAGTCTCCTCCTCAGCTCACCCCATCCGTTTTTCCTCCTCCGCTCCCCCCATCAGTCTCCTCCTCCGCTCACCCCATCAGTCTCCTCCTCCGCTCCCCCCATCAGTCTCCTCCTCCGCTCCCCCCATCAGTCTCCTCCTCCGCTCACCCCATCCGTCTCCTCCTCCGCTCACCCCATCCGTCTCCTCCTCCGCTCACCCCATCCGTCTCCTCCTCCCGCTCACCCCCATCCGTCTCCTCCTCCGCTCACCCCCATCCGTCTCCTCCTCCGCTCACCCCATCAGTCTCCTCCTCCGCTCACCCCATCAGTCTCCTCCTCCGCTCACCCCCATCAGTCTCCTCCTCCGCTCACCCCATCAGTCTCCTCCTCCGCTCACCCCCATCAGTCTCCTCCTCCGCTCACCCCATCCGTTTCCTCACGTATCACTGATTTACTAACAGACATATCAGACTGGATGTCACTCCACTTCCTAAAACTCAATCTATCCAAAACTGAGCCCATAATATTACCTCCCCCCCACGTGCCTCTTCCCTCTTTCTCGGTCAGGATCAATAGCACCACTTACAGCCCATCCCCCCCCCATGCCGGGGTGCTCGGGGAACCCTGGATTCTGATCTGTCCTCTCAGGCCCACATCCAATCCCTGTCCAATCATGGAGCCTCAACCTCCACAACATCTCCAGAATACGCCCCGTCCTGACCAATCACACCGCACAGCTCCTAATTCACTCCCTGATCATCTCCCACCTCAACTACTGCAACTCCCTCCTCATTGGATGACCTTTACATAGGCCACACCCCCTCCAGTCCATCATGAATACTGCAGCCAGGGTCATCTACCTTACCGACCGCTCTGTGTCCTCCACCCCCCTCTGCCAATCCCTCCACTGGCCTCCATTCAGTGTCCTCTACCCCTCTCTGCCAATCCCTCCACTGGCCTCCACCCCCCTCTGCCAATCCCTCCACTGGCCTCCACCCCTCTCTGCCAATCCCTCCACTGGCCTCCATTCAGTGTCCTCCACCCCTCTCTGCCAATCCCTCCACTGGCCTCCATTCAGTGTCCTCTACCCCTCTCTGCCAATCCCTCCACTGGCCTCCATTCAGTGTCCTCTACCCCCCTCTGCCAATCCCTCCACTGGCCTCCACCCCTCTCTGCCAATCCCTCCACTGGCCTCCACTCAGTGTCCTCCACCCCCCTCTGCCAATCCCTCCACTGGCCTCCATTCAGTGTCCTCCACCCCCCTCTGCCAATCCCTCCACTGGCCTCCACTCAGTGTCCTCCACCCCTCTCTGCCAATCCCTCCACTGGCCTCCATTCAGTGTCCTCCACCCCTCTCTGCCAATCCCTCCACTGGCCTCCATTCAGTGTCCTCTACCCCTCTCTGCCAATCCCTCCACTGGCCTCCACCCCCCTCTGCCAATCCCTCCACTGGCCTCCACCCCTCTCTGCCAATCCCTCCACTGGCCTCCACTCAGTGTCCTCCACCCCCCTCTGCCAATCCCTCCACTGGCCTCCATTCAGTGTCCTCCACCCCCCTCTGCCAATCCCTCCACTGGCCTCCATTCAGTGTCCTCTACCCCTCTCTGCCAATCCCTCCACTGGCCTCCACCCCCCTCTGCCAATCCCTCCACTGGCCTCCGCTCAGTGTCCTCCACCCCTCTCTGCCGATCCCTCCACTAGCCTCCACTCAGTGTCCTCCACCCCCCTCTCTGCCAATCCCTCCACTGGCCTCCATTCAGTGTCCTCCACCCCTCTCTGCCAATCCCTCCACTGGCCTCCACCCCCCTCTGTCATTCCCTCCACTGGCCTCCACCCCCCTCTGTCATTCCCTCCACTGGCCTCCACTCAGTGTCCTCCACCTCTCTGCCAATCCCTCCACTGGCCTCCACTCAGTGTCCTCCACCCCTCTCTGCCAATCCCTCCACTGGCCTCCATTCAGTGTCCTCCACCCCTCTCTGCCAATCCCTCCACTGGCCTCCACCCCCCTCTGTCATTCCCTCCACTGGCCTCCACCCCCCTCTGCCAATCCCTCCACTGGCCTCCACCCCCCTCTGTCATTCCCTCCACTGGCCTCCACCCCCCTCTGCCAATCCCTCCACTGGCCTCCACTCAGTGTCCTCCACCCCTATATAATATATACCTCCCCCATACGGAGTATATAATGTACCCCCCCCCCCCATATGGAGTATATAATGTATATCCCCCCCCATACGGAGTATATAATGTATATCCCCCCCCATATGGAGTATATAATGTATATCCCCCCCCATACAGAGTATATTTATGTATATCCCCCCCCATACGGAGTATATAATGTATATCCCCCCCCCATACGGAGTATATAATGTACCCCCCCATACGGAGTATATAATGTACCCCCCCCCATACGGAGTATATAATGTATATCCCCCCCCCCATACGGAGTATATAATGTATATCCCCCCCCCATATGCAGTATATAATGTATATCCCCCCCCATATGGAGTATATAATGTATATCCCCCCCCATACGGAGTATATAATGTACCCCCCCATACGGAGTATATAATGTACCCCCCCATACGGAGTATATAATGTACCCCCCCATACGGAGTATATAATGTATATCCCCCCCCCATACGGAGTATATAATGTACCCCCCCCATACGGAGTATATAATGTATATCCCCCCCCCCCATACGGAGTATATAATGTATATCCCCCCCCCATATGCAGTATATAATGTATATCCCCCCCCATATGGAGTATATAATGTACCCCCCCATACGGAGTATATAATGTATATCCCCCCCCCCATACGGAGTATATAATGTATATCCCCCCCCCATATGCAGTATATAATGTATATCCCCCCCCATATGGAGTATATAATGTACCCCCCCCCCCATACGGAGTATATAATGTACCCCCCCCATACGGAGTATATAATGTATATCCCCCCCCATACGGAGTATATAATGTATATCCCCCCCCCCCATACGGAGTATATAATGTATATCCCCCCCATACGGAGTATATAATGTATATCCCCCCCCATACGGAGTATATAATGTATATCCCCCCCCATACGGAGTATATAATGTATATCCCCCCCCATACGGAGTATATAATGTATATCCCCCCCCCCCCATACGGAGTATATAATGTATATCCCCCCCCCCATACGGAGTATATAATGTATATCCCCCCCCCCCCCCATACGGAGTATATAATGTATATCCCCCCCATACGGAGTATATAATGTATATCCCCCCCATACGGAGTATATAATGTATATCCCCCCCCATACGGAGTATATAATGTACCCCCCCCCCATACGGAGTATATAATGTATATCCCCCCCCCATACGGAGTATATAATGTATATCCCCCCCATACGGAGTATAATAATGTATATCCCCCCCATACGGAGTATATAATGTATATCCCCCCCCATACGGAGTATATAATGTATATCCCCCCCCATACGGAGTATATAATGTATATCCCCCCCCCATACGGAGTATATAATGTATATCCCCCCCCATACGGAGTATATAATGTACCCCCCCCCCCATACGGAGTATATAATGTATATCCCCCCCCCCCATACGGAGTATATAATGTATATCCCCCCCCCATATGGAGTATATAATGTATATCCCCCCCCCATACGGAGTATATAATGTACCCCCCATACGGAGTATATAATGTATATCCCCCCCATATGAAGTATATAATGTATATCCCCCCCCCCATACGGAGTATATAATGTATATCCCCCCCCCATACGGAGTATATCATGTATATCCCCCCCCATATGGAGTATATAATGTATGTCCCCCCCCCCATACGGAGTATATAATGTACCCCCCCCATATGGAGTATATAATGTATATCCCCCCCATACGGAGTATATAATGTATCCCCCCCCATACGGAGTATATAATGTACCCCCCCCCCATACGGAGTATATAATGTATATCCCCCCCCCATACGGAGTATATAATGTATATCCCCCCCCCATACAGAGTATATAATGTATATCCCCCCCCCATACGGAGTATATAATGTACCCCCCCATACGGAGTATATAATGTATATCCCCCCCCCCATATGGAGTATATAATGTATATCCCCCCCCCATACGGAGTATATAATGTACCCCCCATACGGAGTATATAATGTATATCCCCCCCCATATGAAGTATATAATGTATATCCCCCCCCCCCCATACGGAGTATATAATGTATATCCCCCCCCCATACGGAGTATATCATGTATATCCCCCCCCATATGGAGTATATAATGTATGTCCCCCCCCCATACGGAGTATATAATGTATATCCCCCCCCCATACGGAGTATATCATGTATATCCCCCCCCATGGATGGAGTATATAATGTACCCCCCCCATACGGAGTATATAATGTATATCCCCCCCATACGGAGTATATAATGTATCCCCCCCCATACGGAGTATATAATGTATCCCCCCCCATACGGAGTATATAATGTATATCCCCCCCATACGGAGTATATAATGTACCCCCCCCGGGCTCTCACCCCCTCCTCTCTCTCTCTCTCTGTCTCCGGGGCTCCGATCCTCCCGCACGCCGCTGTGTAGTCGGTGCTCCAATAATTCCATCCTCCGGGAACTTCTCCCCGAGATCTATGGTTCCCCCCCCGACATCACTTCAGTCCGCCCGGACCATCCCCATCCATCCCCTCCGACCCTCCCATCATCCTCACCCGTCCCCAGGCCCTCTTCCTGTACCAGACGTACCGCCCGGGGAGGACATTGTGTGACGGACCGCCGGAAGTTCACCATCCGAGGAGTCAGCGCTAAGGAGGGGGAGGGGCGGAGGAGGTAGGTTGGTATGGATGGGGGGGAGGAGGGAGGTAGGTAGGTGTGTATGGATGGGGGGGAGGAGTGAGGTAGGTGAGTATGGATGGGGGGGGGGGGGGAATTGAGAAGTGAGGTAGGTGAGTATGGATGGGGGGGGGGGGTGGAGTGAGGTAGGTGAGTATGGATGGGGGGGGGGGGGTGGAGTGAGGTAGGTGAGTATGGATGGGGGGGAGGAGTGAGGTAGGTGATTATGGATGGGGGGGGAGGAGTGAGGTAGGTGAGTATGGATGGGGGGGGGAGGAGTGAGGTAGGTGAGTATGGATGGGGGGGGAGGAGTGAGGTAGGTGAGTACGGATGGGGGGGAGGAGTGAGGTAGGTGAGTATGGATGGGGGGGGAGGAGTGAGGTAGGTGAGTATGGATGGGGGGGGGGGAGGAGTGAGGTAGGTGAGTATTGGATGGGGGGGGGGGGGGGAGTGAGGTAGGTGAGTATGGATGGGGGGGGGGGAGGAGGTAGGTGAGTATGGATGGGGGGGGGAGGAGTGAGGTAGGTGAGTATGGATGGGGGGGGGAGGAGTGAGGTAGGTGAGTATGGATGGGGGGGGGAGTGAGGTAGGTGAGTATGGATGGGGGGGGGAGGAGTGAGGTAGGTGGGTATGGATGGGGGGGAGGAGTGAGGTAGGTGTGTATGGATGGGGGGGAGGAGTGAGGTGGGTGATTTTGGTGAGTATGGATGGGGGGGGGGGAGGAGTGAGGTAGGTGAGTATGGATGGGGGGGAGGAGTGAGGTAGGTGAGTATGGATGGGGGGGAGGAGGAGTGAGGTAGGTGAGTATGGATGGGGGGGGGGGAGGAGTGAGGTAGGTGGGTATGGATAGGGGGGAGGAGTGAGGTAGGTGGGTATGGATGGGGGGGGGGAGGGAGGTAGGTGTGTATGGAATGGGGGGGGAGGAGTGAGGTAGGTGAGTCAGCGCTAAGGAGGGGGAGGGGAGGAGGGAGGTAGGTTGGTATGGATGGGGGGGAGGAGTGAGGTGAGGTGGTATGGATGGGGGGGGAGAAGTGAGGTAGGTGAGTATGGATGGGGGGGGGAGGAGTGAGGTAGGTGAGTATGGATGGGGGGGGGGGGAGGAGTGAGGTAGGTGAGTATGGATTGGGGGGAGGAGGGAGGTAGGTGTGTATGGTTGGGGGGTTGGGAGGTAGGTGTGTATGGGTGAGGGGAGGGAGGGAGGTAGGTGGGTATGGTTGGGGGGTTGGGAGGTAGGTGTGTATGGGTGGGGGGAGGAGGGAGGTAGGTGGGTATGGGTGGGGGGGGTTGGGAGGTAGGTGGGTATGGGTGGGGGGTTGGGAGGTAGGTGTGTATGGATGGGGGGGAGGAGGGAGGTAGGTGTGTATGGATGGGGGGGGAGGAGGGAGGTAGGTGGGTATGGATGGGGGGGGGAGGGAGGTAGGTGGGTATGGTTGGGAGGTAGGTGTGTATGGGGTGTGGGGGGGGAGGAGGGGAGGTAGGTGGGGTGGGTATGGGTGGGGGGGTTGGGAGGTAGGTGTGTATGGATGGGGGGGAGGAGGGGGAGGTAGGTGTGTATGGATGGGGGGGGGGGAGGAGGGAGGTAGGTGTGTATGGGTGGGGGGGAGGGAGGTAGGTAGGTGTGTATGGATGGGGGGAGGAGGGAGGTAGGTGGGTATGGATGGGGGGGTTGGGAGGTAGGTCATCGATCAGCACAAGGTGTCTCTCCTGGGGGTGGACGTTGTGTGGAGTTGAAATTCAGCTGAAATGCCCCCCCCCCCCCCGCACACTGAGGGGGTCACATGTCCCGGAGTGGGGTCACCGCTCTGATTTCCCATTCTGGGGTCACGTCGGAGTTATGGGGTGTTCTGCTGTGCTGGCCGCTTGTTATTTCCAATGATCTGCCTCAATACAACACATGGGGGGGCCATGAGTACAATGTGGGGGGGGGGGGGCCCTGAGTACAATGTGTGGGGGGCCCTGAGTACAGTGTACAATGTGGAGGGGCCCCTGAGTACAATGTACTATGTGGAGGGGCCCCCGAGTACAATGTGGAATGGCCCCCAGATACAGTGTACAATGTGGAGGGGCCCCTGAGTACAATGTGGAGGGGCCCCTGAGTACAATGTGGGGGGGGCCCTGAG